GGGGGGGGGGGGTGGGCAGTGCTGGGAGGGCCGGGGGGTCCAGGCAGCCTCTCCCCACATCGGGGAGGCTGGAGGGGGAATGACCCCGAGGCTGGGAGCTCGAGGCTGCAGCAGGGAAACCCTGGCTTCCACCCACCCACACAGACATTCTGATGACTGGGTCACCCCGAAGACCCAGGACAAGCAGCTGTGTGATGAGGGCAGGGCAGGAGTCCCGGCTGTGCGCCGGCCTCCTGGGCCCCCAGGCCGGCTGGGAAGGGGGCTGCACCCGGTGCTGGGTCTCTGCGGGCTGAGGGTCTCTGAGCTATGGGATGGGATCCCCTGGTCCAGGGGTAGAGGCCAGACCTGAGGACACAGGCTCACATGCAAGTCCCAGCCCTACCAGCTGGGGACCCAGAGCAAGTGACCTCACAGACTCCTTGAGCCTCAGTTCTTTCACCCCCTAAAGCGGAGCCGATGGCATGACTGTAGCGGGTTGTGGGGAAATGAATGGGGGTAAAATGAAGTCTCTGCCAGCTCGTTGCATTCCTAGCCGAACGCAAGTCCCTGTCACGTCGGCCTGGGGAAGCAGCTGGCAGTGAGAGGGACAGAAGCCCAGGGGTGGGAGGTGGGGCCACGGAGTCCGCCCTCCTCCCCTGGGTCCCTCCCCCGGGAGGGTCTCCCAGCCGAGCACCGGGGACCAGAGGCCACTTACTGTGGATCCCAATGACCTTCTCCATCGACCGGACAGCGTTCGCGTTGGGTCTCTGCTGTAAAACCTTTTCTGGGAGAGGATCAAGCTGGGAGAAAACAAGAAGAACACACACTGAATTCATATCAGTATCATCCCCGTGCGTGTTAAGACGCGATGTCCAGAGTCAGCGTCTTTCTCAAGTGTACTTGCTAACTGAGTAAACAGCCTTAAGAAGCCAAATGTGGTTTTGGCATTTATTATAGAAATTTTTTACAGAAACAGATTTATTTTCCTTAAGGTATTTTTCTTAGGAGGCTATCAGGTATATTTGTGGGTTCCCCTGTGAGCAGAATGATGGATGGTGTCCAGAAGTGCCTGGTACAGAAGGGCAGCAGCTTGGCCTCCACTGTTGATACCACAGCATAACATCAGGGGAGGTGATTATTACTTTTTAGAAATATCAGTTTCACATCCCCTATAAACAAGGGTTTTACTAAGAGTGCTTGAATATCCCCCATTCAGGGTTTTCTTCCAATAATGGGGAAAAAGGTAAGCGGAAGGGAGCGCGCAGCACCTCAGCGAGGGAACCTATGCTCCGAGTTTCTCCTCAAGTCCCGCAGCAGATGGTGTCAGGAGGCGCACACGCGCCCGCCCGTCGGCAGCAACAGAACTGCCCAAAACGTGGGATGAAATGCTCACAAACATGGTAACAGTGTGAATAAGCAGACAAGCCTACAAAACTGGGAGAGACCTGCTGGGTTCCGGGACAAAGCTGGGAATGCCCAGGGAGGTCAGATAACGGGGGACAGGTCCTGGGCTGTGCACGCCTGGCCGTGATGACCACCGCCCCGCCAAGGACGAGTGGACAGAGCGGGCGCGCACAGACCACAGGCCCCACCAGTGCTCGAGGGACGCGTGTATCCCCAAGCCAGGCTGCCAGTTAGCACTGCCAGTTCACTTCTAGGAAGCATGGATTCCCAGTCACAAAAATCACAAAACACACAAGTAAGCGAGCATGAACTTGGGTCAGGAAGAACAGACAAGGTCTCTAATACCTCTCTCCAATAAAAGGAACCAGGCTCCTTGGAGAAATGGCTTGCTCCAGGGCTGGGGCGGGGAAGATGCAGGGAGAGCCTGGAGCACCCTGAACACAGAGGGTAGGGAAGGACTCGCTCAAAGACAAAACAGCGGGCGTGTCAAAGGGACACACGCGGGGCCAAGGGGAAATTAAGTACGTACAGGTATTGAATTATATCTCAGAATATGTAAAATTAATATCCACTAGTCCACACTGGCGCGATAAGTGACTGAGTAAACAAATAAACAGCGAGAAGAGATGCATCTTCCTTAAGAGGGATTCCAAATAACTTATGTGCACACCCTGTCTCTGCGAGGTGGAGCCTGCCACCTGCCACCCTGCCCCCTCCTGTCCGAGCTGAGCTGTGTGATGTCCATCGAAGAGTCCACGTGGGAAGAGGAAACACGGAAGCTCGCTGCAGACGCCTGACCAGCACACTCTAACTCAGCGCCCACGTCAGCTCCAGCAGAGGTGAACCACATGGACGGCACCACGTGGATGGGAAGGGCGCCCGACCACGGGGTCTTCCTCCTCCAGCCCCTCGCTCCAGTCCAGTCACGAGGGAGAGAATCAGACATTCTACAAAACACCTGGCCAGCCTGCCTCCAAACTGCTGGAGTCATGAAGAACAACAGAAGATTGAGAAACTGTCACGGCCCAGAGGGGACTAAGGAGAAGGTCCCTGAAACAGAAAAAGGGGAAAATGAGTGAAAGCTCCCTCCGTCCTGGAGTTTACTTAACGGTAATGTGCCAGGGTTGGTTTCTCAGTTGTGAGAAACGCCCCATGCTGAGTAAGACCGCAATAACAGAGGGAATTATTTGAGGGGTCTGCAGGGACGCGTGTGCAGCTCTGCAGCTTTCCTGTAAATTTGAAAGTATCCCCAAGTGAAAATTTCTTTTTAAAAATGAAGATTTAGATCCTCCAAGACTTTAATTATTGAAATGATCAGCTTTAAACTATAAAGTAAGCATGTTTAATATATTAAAAATAAAAAGAAGATACTAATGAATGGTGAAAGGACCAGAGAGCACTGAAACTGAAACGGAATATTTGAGAGAAAGCCAAATGGAACTTCTAGAGATGAAAACATAATTTCCTAGAAATTAGGAACACAGTGAGATGAGCTGGAGAGAAAACTGGTAACCTGGAAGCAACAACTGAAGAAATGAGCCTGAACGCAGCCCAGAGACAAGGGACAGAAGGAGGTCAATGTCCCCACGAGACTGGGGGGTGGGTAACGAACGGTGCCGACGGCCGAGGATTTTCCGTGACTAATAGAGTCATCATCCTCAGTTGCACGTAAAACACAGACAGTTGGACAGGACATGACACATGACAATGGAATCCAGCCTCATGCTATTTGCCAAAGGACATACCTGAAACATTGGAAGAAGACTAAACACCACACATCAGGCGCACACCCAATAGAGAGGAGGCCGGTGCACCACCTTACGTGTCCGGTACAACAGACTTAAGGAAAAAAAAACATAACCGGACATAAAGAAGGTCACTATACAATGATAAAAATTTCAACTCATCAAAAGGATACAATGATTTAAAATTTGTATATATTTAGTAAAATTGCTTTCAAATGTACGAAGTGAAAATGGACAGAACTAAAAGGAGAGATGGATGAATGTACCATCCTAGTAGGAGATTTTCACAGGTCTTTCTTAGATCAAGCAGACAAGCGGGCAAAAATCAAGAGGGAAAACCAAAACAGGAACAGCACAGTTAGCAAGGTTGGTTTCGTGGGAATAAATGGAGCAACTCTGTAAAACAGACGGGGGACACGTCACTTCAAACGGATGTGGAAGCGTCTACACAGACTGACCACGTACTAGCCCCTGAAGCAAGTCTCCACAAAGGATACCTGCCACCCAGACCACCTTTTCTTAGCACAGTGCCATTTGTTGGATACTGAAAACAAAAAGAGAGTCACGAGCCCTGTGGCTGGACATTATAAACACACCCATCGTGGGTCAAAGAAGAAATCATAATAGAAATTATGAAATGCATAGAAATAAAAAGTAATGAAAATGCCACACATCACAGTGTGTGAGATGCAGCTAAACACGGTGCTGGGGGACATTTGTAACCTTCAAGGTACATATTGGAAAACAAGACTGAGAACTAAGAACTGAATTTAAGAAATGAGCACGAGAACAGACTAGCCCCAGAGAAAGAAGATAAGAAAATACACAGAAAGGGGCAGAAATACCTTTTGAAAGAAAAAAAGATACTGTAGCTGAAAGTTGATTCTTTGAAATGACTAATTAAATCGACAAGCTCTGGCAGGGCTGATCAAGAATACTGAAGAGGGGGCACAAGTAAACACACTAGGATAAGAAGCACCACAACTACAGGAATAGCAGAGATGAAAGACAGTAAGAGAACAATATTAATTCTGCCAATAATTCTGAAAACGTGGCTGATGTGGAAAAAATTCCTGGTAAAATGTAACTTTCCAAAATTAATTCAAGAAGGGATGAAAAATGACAATCAGCCACTTAAAATTTTCATCCAAAGGAGACCCATAGCCCAGGAGAGCCCTCCCAGTCAAGGAACAGATTATTCTGATCCTACACTCACTCTTCCAGAGAAGAGAAAAAGAGGGGACTCCCAGCGTCCACTGGTCCATCTGCCCATCCATCCACCCATCCATCCATCCCTCCATCCAATTCCTCCCCCCAAGAATAAATTGGAAAAAGATGGTCTAATAGAAAAATGGGCAAAAGACACAAAGAGAAAGGCTGAGTGGTCAGGAGACATGTGACAAGGTGCTTGGCCTCCAGGGCATGAGGACGTGATTCTCTATCACACCTGGTGCCGTGCCACCCTGCAGACTCGCAGGGATCAAACGTGAGACGCCGTGTCGCTGAGGTTCGTCCCCCACTGCTGAGGGCCCGCAGGACAAAGACCCTGATGCCACCTTGTAAACGTGGGACCCACCCGTCCCTCCGCCAGCATCTGCCTCAGAGATGCAGCTGCCCTCCTGTCCCAGGAGACTGCACGGGCGTGACTCTCAGATGACCCGGTGAGTCCGGGGCCAGAGAGCAGATTCAGGAATGGAGCCTCCCTGGGACCATCCTGCTGTCCCCCACTGCCAGGCAGCCCCGTGAAGACGGGAGTGTCCCCGAGTGCCCGGGCCACCCTAGGCTGAGGGTGATGAGGGGCAGAGCCCGGGCCCCTCGCGGGCACGAAGCTGGGGCAGAAAACACACCTTTTAGGTTTGGGGTCCTCACTGCAGCATAACTCGCTGTGTCCTGACTGTTATGGCCCAACTCTAATAGTCTGCTAGAATTTTAGTTTTATCACTTTTAAGAAAAAACAATTCTTTAAAAAGTAACTCATTCCCAAAATCACCTATCACTTTGAGGCAGAGGGGTGTGTCAGAGCGTGGCACCAGGAATTTTCTCACATTAAACCCAGGTCCTGCTGCTCCCCGTCCTG